CCTGGCACTCAGGTACTATGGTTCTCGGTACTTAAGAATAGTAGGAAAGTAGAAGGATACATACACTAAGACCAAGGAATAACTAAAATCTACTTTGAACTGATAAAAAACTCTGTTCTTGGGACTTGGGACTACGACAGTGAGTGCTAGCAAGACCTGATCTAGGGTCAGGTAGAGAGAGCACTTGATCAGGTCATTCTTTGGCTATAATTCATTAGTAGATATGTCTCATTTGTAACAGTCCCCCCATGAGTAAGCCACCAACTGGAATTTCATAGAAACATAGGACTGGAAGGGAGCTTGAGAGGTCATCAAGTCCAGCCCCCTGCGCTGATGCAGGACCAAGTAAACCTAGACCATCCCTGACAGGTGTTTGTCCAACCTGTTTTAAAAAACCTCCAGTGATGGAGATTCCATAACCTCCCTTGGAAGCCTATTCCAGAGCTTAACTACCTGGATAGTTAGAAACTTTTTCCTAATATCTAACCTAAATGTCCCATGCTGCAGTGCAAGCCTGTGACTTCTTGTCCTACTTCAGAGAGAACAATTGATCAAATATGTTAAGGGCTGTTTATAAAGAGGACAGTGAAGACTATCAGGTCCCCGCACCATCAGTCATCTTGTTTCAAGACTGTTTCCTGGGTTATTTTATTATTATATTTTTATTATCTATATTTACTGTAGTGTCTACATGTTGTTTAGTTTTTAACCCTGTGTTGGTAAATGTTTTTTTTTTTTTCTTTAAGAAACCCTTAATAACATAAGACAGGATATTTACAAGTATAAATAACAAATGCAACACTCTTTTTTTTGTTTTAAAGTAGCTTTTAATAATAAAGGGGCCTTACAATTGCATCTTGGTTTTAAAATTTATCTCCGTAGTATCTTTCATAACCTGTTTGTTTGAATTGATTGTATACTTGTAGCTGGATTTAAAGAAATCTTTAAAGGTCAATTCAGGAGATATGACTCAAATGGAAGTGCTAGTTCAAGTCTCCTCCATCTGAAAAAAACCCAAAACAAACAAACAAAAAACGAAGTGAGCGATCAGCTTGTTATCTTATAGCCTGGATCCATTGGTACGTGAAAGCGACAGGGAATTCAAAGACCAGGCGTGTATGGCTAGCAGGCAATCCAAACAGTAAGCGCAGGCTGGGGATGATTCACTTGTACTGTGGTGAAGGAAACTCACGACTAATTGTTAATTTTCTTCCTCTCTTGGAGCCCTATCCTGCAAAGATGTACATGCTTAATCTTACTACTGCGAATAATCCCACTGAAATCAATGGGATACGTTACAATAGTAAAGTTCAGCACATGCATCAGTGTTTGCCAGATCAGGGCCTTAGTCTTCAGCATCCAGGAGAAGATCGCTATTTATTTTTCTCTAAAACTAAAAGGAAACAATGCCACTGATGTTTTTGTCTCCATTTGTTTCGTTCCATTATTATCAGTAACATTACAGTAGAGCCTCGTGGCCCCGGCTAACATGGGGACTCTGACGTACTAGGCGCTGTACCTACCCCCGATAAGAGAGAGTCCTGCTTTGAGATGCACCCTATTTAAATGGACGAATCAAACAAAGGACCTCACCTAATGTAAATCCCCACCATGTATGCCAGCGGAATACCCACCCCCAAAACATGGAGTGACTTGCTGTGGTAGGACTGAGCATTGAACCTAAGTGCCCTCAGTTGCAGTCTAGCACCTTAATCACAGGACTGTCCTTCCTCTAGACAGAGGCTGCCTTTACCTCTCTAAGCATGTCACATTACTATGGTATGTTGCTCTCAAAAGCCTGTGAGAGAGCACAGACCGTTCTAGCATACACAAACTGCTTTGCAGGTGTACGGCTCTGTAATGGGGCTGTATAATAATGGAACGAA